TTAGGTGATCTTATCAGGGAGAATTCCAGGTATCTTCACTACTATTCCAAAGAGCAAGCAGGAGGCAGGGTAGGTGTGTGTGTGTGTGTGTGTGTGTGTGTGTGTGTGTGCATGCGCATATTATTTACTTACTTATTTTTTTTTGCCAGGAAAAAGATCATTTGTACATTCTGTTTTCTAACAGGAGATGAATCTGTTTGGATGCCCTTACTGCACTAAAATAACACAAAAACGTATTAAAAACACATTAAAAAATAATGTGGAAGATATGACAAGCTGAGATATGTAGAAATTACATTCATTAAACATTTCTTCGACTAGCGGGTAAGAATAACAAGAGATTGAGGCAATAAATAAATATATATTTTTCCTTAGGATAGGAGGTATATCAGATTGTTAAAAACATTTCATTAGATTGTGTAAAAATGCATGATACATCCTTAGTAGTGACTCTGGAATAATTGTGGGGCGACATGTCCCAGACAGTTGTTGATGTGTGGCTGTTGAATGCTAAGTCCCAGCATGATCGAATGAGCAAAAGCAGCTAGTGAGAAAACAAAAAAGGCAGTTATCCGGTCAGAAACTACAGGCCGTTCAGCCACGTCACACTATTCTACTCCAGGTGGTTTTTAAGGTAAAATGCAGAAAATGTCCACTGCAGAAAAGCTCACAAACCGCTCCATTTCCAGGTATCCTTAACCCCTTCATGACTGAGCTTGTTTTTAGTTTCTGTTCGTAAATGACTGACACACTTTTGACATTTTTGCTGTGTGATTCTTCCACGTCAGTAATATACTTTCTTACAAAGTGCACCCACACATATTATATATTGTTTTTTAGAGGACAGATAGGGCTACATATTTATATCACATATGTGCGTCTAACGCCTCACTTAGGACAAATAAAATATAAAAAAAGAGGAAAAAACCGTTTAAAAAAAACACTTTTTTCCCAGTTTTGATTTGTAGTATTTTTTTTACAAAACCAGCACAGCTAAAAAAATGCAATAAATACATTCATTTATTTGTCCCTTATTTTATTTTATTTTTTACACATTTTTTTATTTTTTTTACACTTTTCACAATTTTTTTTTTTTTTTACACTTTTCACTTTTTTTTTAACTTAAAAATGTTATTTTATTTATTTAATTATATCAAGCAGATTTTGTGAATTAATCTCACTGTTACTGCATGATAAATTAATAAATTTTTGGTTATTATCAGGCTGCTTCAAACTTCAGAACAGCCGATAATAAGTTAGTGACACTGATCCTGCAGCAGTTCAGGATTCAGCTGTTACTAAATGTTTTCTGATTGTTGCAACAACGATCAGCAAACAAACATTCTTCTTCCAGGAATAGATACATTGTAGGAATAGACACATTTTGTATCTATTCATGAAAGAAAAAAAAAAAACCCAGTATAGCTTGAGAGAGATATCTCTCGATCTATACGAGCTGTCAGAATGCCGGCAAAAGCCGGCATCTGTGTCCGCTTTGCTTTGACTCTCAGACACCCGATATTAAGGTATCGGGTGTCTGAAAAAGGTTAACCCTTTCATTAATGAATGCCTCTGTAGTAAGGGCATCCATTAATGAATGTTAAAAGCTGATTCTCAGCGATTAACAGCCCTCTAAAGCAGCAAATAACTCGTCACGTACAGTGTACGTGACAAGTCATTTGGTCCCTTTGTGGCTGGACGTACAGTGTACGTCTCCCGTCACGAAGGGGTTAATGCCAGCACCCTTTATGCCAGCAGGTTTGCCAGGAGGATGCCCAATCGTCCCTAAATAGCACAGGGACACAATGGCAGCTGAAGCCTCCTGTGTGTCCCCACACCAAATCCAACAAGCAAACCTAATTGCTTTACCTGTTCAGTATAGCTTGAAGATCAACATACAAGTGCAACTAAATGTTAAAGCCTATATTACAGGAAGTAGCTCACCAGTCACTTGTCATGGAGGCTTCCTGGTAATAAAATGCCTATAAATCTAAACTTATGTTTCCACTTTGATAACTTTTCTCTGAGAGGATTCCAACAGAAAAACATAGCTCATTCCAGCACCAAAAACTTTACATGAATGAAGGATAATGGTAAAGATGATTTTCCACACACACACCTTGTTTAAGGATAAAGATCTCCACCAGCTCAGTACTCGAACAGTAAAACACTGGCCCTTTCTGCTAGGGTAGGTCCCCTTAAACGCTTTACTTCATGTAGGATTAGGACGGTGGGATAATCTTTTAGGTAAGGGGTGCTGTCAGAGGACAAACTGGAAAAGTATCCAAGTATCTGTCTATATTCACTGACACTAGCAGCTGGGAACTCCTTGCCGTTGTTAATAAATACAATATGATGTGAGTGGTCTCATAATCAAAGGCTTGCATTTGTGAGTTCCCATTTGAGATGAATTCACCTGCCATCAACATGCTCTTAGAGGAACATCTTCATACATCATTCTGGCATAAGTAAAACAAGACATTTACCAGCCCCACTCCTACTTTCAGAATTAATATGTGGGATATGTGCCACTGTAGTTATTTGGCAAGGCTTGGCATGTAACAGGACGACCGAATACAGCTCATAAAAGACGTTGGAAGAGTTAGCATAATCACTCAATCTTAGGACATCTAACAGGCACTCGGGGGAGCATAGACATTCAAAAGACGCTTGCATTTAAAAGAAACATTAGGACTGCTACTGTTAACCTCTATCGTGCCTGGCTACCAAGCTGCCCCCTTTGGTTTCTATACTTCTGAGTCACTTACTGAAAAATTATGCAGTAAGTGAAGTTAGACCCATGCATTTCCTTCATGCTTCTTTTAAATGGTGGGAGTGTCTGCTTCTCATTGCTCCGCCAGCTGTATTAGGAGCAGTGTAAAGGTTGGCCATGCACTTTACAACCATCGCAAGACCTTAGTCTTGCGATGGTTGTAAAGTACTTAAAAAAAACGTACGATCTGCCCATCTTGGACAGGCAGATCGTACTTGCGATCATCGCAAGCCCGCCCCCTTGAGGGGCGGGCTTGCGATGACTGCAATGAGGGGCGGGCTTGCAAGCACGGCAAACGGGCAGTGTGCGCGTGCGCACACCGGCCCGTTCGTCAGTTGTCGAACAAGCAGGCCACTCACTCGCCGAGAATCGTACGATTCCCGGCGGGTTTTCCAGCCTGCTTGTTCGATGTACAGTAGAAACGGTCGCACGCCTTCCATACACTGTACGATTCTCGTACGATCGCGGGATTTCCCGCGATTCTCGTACGAGAATCGTACAGTGTATGGGCACCTTAATGCTGGATCTCTCAGAAGGCGGGAAAGATACCAATGGCAATATTTGCAGATACAGAAACAAACCTACAGATTCCACAAGACTAGAAAGTTATACTTACATCAAAAGACCACTCAGTGAATGGCAGCAATATGGTACCTTGGATATGGCAAATTCTGCAATGGTAGCACAAGACTGACCAAAATTTGGGGAAACACTGCTCTAGTGTTCTCCAACTGGCTGCCTCCAAAGCCAACAAAAGTTAAGAAAATGTGGGAGTAGCTGGCAACCACTTCATTAAGACCACTGTCTGGTGGGGTTTAACCCAATGTCTGAAAACCATGCAACAAGGTGAACATGACCAAAGACTTGTTTTGCAAATGAAGAAATCACATTACAGTACCACATTATCAACATGTCAAATAAGCCGCAGCTCACACCCATCACAGTATCCATTAAAGAGCAAGTTCACCTGTCATTATGGGATTTGTTGTACATTTTTTTTTAACATTCCATTAGCATTTCATTTTGCCTTGGCCTTTTGTCCTTCCCTTCACTTTTTACAATATGCAGTGTATGATCTGTTTCCACACAGAAATCCAAACAGCAGTAAACAAAAATCAGCCCCGGGAACACCCTAACCAAAAGGTAACCAGCAGTCCCTGAATCTCAGGAGAGAAGCAGCACAGGCAGGGAAATCTCAATCTTAATTTGTATGTTTGGGTAAAATAAAACAAAACATATATTTAGTACATCTCTACAATAGCCTTCAATGCCCCCACTTAACCCAGAGGTCAGTCTGTTATGATTGAACAAAGCTCTGACCAACTTATTGGTCCCCAACCTCCCATACAATCTTAGTGGTCCAGTACTATGATGGGATCACTGGGAAATAGGAATGTGTCGGAGGTGGAAGTGGAGTGAGCAAGCTTTGACACTACAGGAAGTGTTGACGCGCTTATGCAATACGCACAGGTGTGAACCAGGCCTTACCGGATCAGAACAGTGAGGACACAGAGATTGCTGCATGTGTGCAGGCACCTCTGTGTGAACTTCATTTCTGTCAACAGCTTTTTTTTTGGTGTTCAGTAAGTCATAGCATGAGAAGTCCTGTGAGTAATATTGTACAATGATTGTGTTTTAATGAACCTCTCTTAGTGGGGGGAGCACATGCAACAGATCCCTCATCAGAAATAAAAGGGGATCAAGTCATCAGAGCCCTGGGAACCCATTTTCGCAAGTGATGTGTACCCGTGCCTGCCATAGATGCTCATTATTGCCCCCTAGAAGATCAGGAATAGGCCAGTTATGGCAAGCAAGGCTTGAAACTGGGAGCAATGCTAGCTATTATAATAATGATATGGCCAATTTATGTTAGACTGATGGGAAACAACAAAACGACTGGTTGGCTTATATTGATATCTCAGCAATTTATTCATTTCCCTGATTGGACTTTAGTAATCTCTCCAAATAAATACATGAAGGCCACATCCATTTGTATATTTTCACAAAAATATGGCACAGCAAGCCAAAAGGTGAACAGTTCATAACAAAAGAATACTTTTAGGAATAGGCCATAACAAGAACTCAACTGTTCCTACTTTTTGGATGAATTTAAGTTTGTTCCTTTTCTTTAACTGTATCTCTATGTTTATGAAAGCTATTTGATTCCATTTAAGATGGCCCCGTCATTTAATTTTCCACCAGAAAGTGGCACAGCAGGTAGGACCTAAAAGGTGAACTTGCACTTTAACGGCTGCTCAGTCTAAATCACAAAACAACGCCAACAAGCTCACAAATCGAAGTGGTTTTTGTGATTAAAGAAACTTCACACTCACACTCTCCTGAGCTGAATAAATGACAGGGGCCCAGAACTGGAAAAAAAATATAACAATGCAATCAGTAAGATTTTGGCATTCTCTCCCCAAGTCCCAGGGACATGATGAAGCAAAGGCGACTCTTCAGAAGTGACATTGCCTTCTACGTGCGGTTTAGGGTCTGGAAAATTCTAGATATCTGCAGCATTACGGGACCTGTTTCAGAGTCATTCATCCACTGTGTGCTGTTTAAAGGATTTTCAAGCATATCTTCAAATGCTGGGGAAAAGGGAATCGCAGAATTAGAAGATTTAGGGTCAGCAGTGACAGTTCATTCACTACAGTAGAGCTATCAGATTTGTATGGGTTGAACATTCATACTGTACATGTTATCAATCTACAAGCAAGATTATAGTCTTCAATAGGAAAGTTGTAGGATATTTTTGTAATCTCGTGGTTCTAATGGATTAACAAGACTCACAGGTATAATGACAACTATACTGTATACATATTTCTGTCACCTGTCATAAATGTCTAAGGGAAACTAGAACGGCTTTTTGGACAAGAATGTGTTTCTTGCTTCTGTTAAAAATGAGCTTCTTTCTGGAAGCTGATCTAGCTGTAAATATAAAACTAGAACTCCATCTGCTGGAAGCATAGAAGATTTGCAAAATAAGAATATACAACATTTCATGTTCACCCAACATTAAAAACATAAATTAAAACAAAATGCATTCCCCTTATAACTTTTTACCATTTAAGTGCGTGTGGTTGAAATGTATCATTTAAGACTTTGCTTTGCATAAATATCATATTTACACAGCTTATCAATCCACAAAGGACATGCAAAACAAACAGACAGACAGTGCCTTCTCCTCAATCCAGAAGCACTTTGTTGTATTTGAAGAACACCTTCTTCTGAACTGGCCACAGGGATAAAATGCAGGCACATCTTTCCATGAGTGCACAAATATGCAAATACTTCCACTCCACTAAGTGTTCTCCCTAGCTGTATTTGATGGAAGCATTAAGCAACAATAAGTTAGAAGAAAATCGAGGGCTCGGTGTCCTTGACCTGCACTGGCAGGAGGTAAAGGAGACTCCTGGCATCTCCGTAAAAGTGTACATGTCACTACTACCACATAGTGGGTATTTGTGAAGGTAATTCAATAATTTTAAGAAAAAAAAAAAAAAGTAAAAAATCCCCCAAAAACTATAAAAGGAAAAAACAATTGAAGTAGTATTAAAGCCTCACTTATTACAATGCTTTTCTATACAAGTTATTTTTTTTCTTCTCCTCAATAATTGCATTATTTTTGAGTTTTTACTTTGGAATTGTTTCATTTACCTCTCTATTTTACCCCTCTTCGAATTCCTGGTGCTGCACATCAACCTAACTTCCCAGCAGGGGGGGCACATAGTCTCTCCCTGATGCCTGGGTGCGGAACTACCAGTTCCATGAGTCCTCACGCACACATTGATAATGGCAGAGGAAAATGAAGAGTGTTTTATCGCTTGCGGACGTGTGACCTGTCCATCGGTTCTGCCGGGCGGATCAAACTAGGGCTGCAACAAAAATCGATTATAAATCGATGATTGAAAAAGTTGTCAACGTTTTAATCGATTAATCGGCTTTCGATTAGTTGGTCCTGTTCACGGCTCCACACACGCTGTACTCTGCACCTCACGCTCGCCGCTGCCAGACCTGCCTGCCTGCATCCACGCTCCACATGCCGCACCTCCTCCCCGCCTCATGCTCACTGCCCGCCCACTTCCACGATCGGCACACG